CGGTAATGTGACCATTTTTTTTCAGTGCACACCCACACCCTTACTAGTGTTTACGGAAAAATTGTAACGATGAAAACTGCTTCTCCTCCTTGCATGAATCAAATTTTGTAAGTTTTATTCACTGATTAAAGTATCATATTATTTTATTATTAATTATTCAAAATTTCAGCTGATGTAAATCAACTTGGTAGAAAAATTACTTATTTTGAAACTAGTATAAGTTTCACTAAACGGATGTAACCTTTTATGTTACACTTTCTTAAAATCTTATTTACAATATATATTGAAAACTTTCATAAATTATTTTTTCATGATCTTTCTTCCTGTCGATCCTGAAATCTATTTTACAAGTTCGAAATAAAAGACAAGCCGTAGAAACTTTGAGCCACGTTATGTTTTGCTGTAGACAACATTCAGATTTTTTACGAAACACTAGTAAGGGTGTGGGTGTGCACTGAAAAAAAATGGTCACATTACCGAACCTCTGAGAGTTGCGTAGACAGAAAAAAGGGTTTGTGAAGAAAAAAAGGGTTTCGTACAATATACGAAACCTTTAAAGATTTCGAGTTTTGCAACGAATTCTGAACCTTTTTGGGTTTCGTACCAATCACTAAAAAGCCCTACCGAACTTTTAAAAAAGACTTTTCGACCGATGACAATTATTTTGAATGGAACAAAGGTTTTTACGAAACCCCTTCGAGGGTTTAGAATTTGTTGCAAAAAAGGTTCGGTATATAACCTTCTTTTTTAGTGTGGGTGTGGGTGTGAATGCGGTAAAAAAAACACCCACATCACTTATGCAAGATAATATTGATGGTCATCATATAAATTTCGATGGTTCAAGTTATTTACAACTTTTATCTACTATTATACAATCAATAGATCAATATTTTAAAGAAAATAATAATAATAATACTACATTAATGATTGATATTCAACAATGGATTATTACAACATTAAAAGTATCAAAAGGGTCATCAAATCAAGAAATTATTTTTTCATTTAAATTTTTAAATGAATCTACATGTCAATTATCATTACCAATGAAACAATTTCTTTTCGATGAATTAATTAATGTTTTAATTGAAAATAATAGTCGACTAAATCGTAAGAAAATTCATCAACAATTTAATGATATGTGAAATCTTGAGGGTGTGGGTAGGTTTGTTCATCTTCTATCACACACACCCTTGTGAATCCTAAGCATACAGAATCCGTCGATTCTCGTTGTGGTCAAGACACCCCGCTCATACAGAAACGAGCCGATCATTATCGATTTGAGTCAGCTTATCCGGCTTACTCAGTTGTGAGTTGTCATATAGCTATTTTTGAAATTGGATTTCATTATAGATTGGCTAGGCTTGAACAACATTCAAAAATTTCGAAGAAAAACTTTTATTCACCAAGACTCGTCAATGAGGTAGAAGAGAATATAGAAAAATATTATTTTTCAAATGAATATAACATAATAATAAAGTCCTCTCGACTTCTATGGATAGAAATCAAATTTCGATACTCAAAACTATAACATGAAAAAAGAAAATAATGAACGAAGGACAAACTTCGTTCATACAATTTTATCTATAAATCGTTTTTTCAGGGCTCCAAAGACTTCTGTAAAAATGATTGTTGAATGAAAATTTTTCATGCTAATATTTACTTTTGTTAAAATATCTTCGATATGTTAAGTAAGGAAAGTTACTATCATGCTACCAATTACAACAAAATAGAGAAAACAGAATATATTTGGATTTCATTACTTTATTAACAAACGACTATTCAAGGAAAATCTTCGTCTATTATCAAGTTTGATTAAAGTTTTCGAGGTCGATGAATCAACATGTAGAATCGATTAGTTAGAATTGTAAACTTACTCTCAGTCAAGGAAAGCCTATTTTTGATATAATGTAAGCTATGTGATTGTACTGACTCTTTGTTTCATATAATAAATGTCAAATATATGTACCATGAATAACGTCACAATTATGTTTCTCTATTTTGTGATCAACATGTGATACCATTAATGTAATTTTTTTTTGTATACTTTCATCGGAAATGAGTAAAAGGGAAGTATACCATAATCATGCATGTCTGGATGTTGCCACAATTGGAGGGGAAGGGTTCAAAAACTTAGAAAGCCTATTTGAAAACTTTCACTAAAATTTATCGGATTGTGCGCGGAGGCTCGAGCAATATTTAGAAAATTGGTTCGGAAAAAAACGAATAAAGTATTAAAAATTTGTCAAGATAGAGAGTAGGGCTACCATGTGGAAGCCTCCTCCGTCGTTTGGGGTACCCTTGGGTACAAAAAGTTTCGATCATCCCTCCTTCGCCTTTCGAAAAATTCTAGCTACGTCCCTGCTTGCTCAACTTCTGGATCACATTTGATAAGATATCGTGATTTTTCTCAAATAACTGTTCGTTGACGAAGTAATCAAATTCAAAAATGTACTCTTACTCGTTGTTGAGTATCTGGTAACTATTCTGACCTGCTTTTCATTCATTTCTAAGATGATCTCTTATTAATATATATCTATTTAAATGATATGTTTATATATAATTTTCACTTATATGGACAATCTAAAATATTTTCAATGGTTATTTTGGAAATGAAGAACCGTACTTAATCGAAAATTGGTCACATTTCGTTTATTTCAAATTCATTTATTCGAATACAATGAAAAATTCTAAGAATTTTTCAATCCATTTTATCTAAAAACATCATCCGTCTTACTTTTTTCAGTATGACTGTGGCAGTTAACTGTACGCGTAATTTTCATTCTCCAACGATTCACCACCGATATCGACACCCACACCCAACTAATGGTTATAAATAGAACATACAAAATGAACTTAAACCAACCAAAACACATAAGTTTTATTCAATTTTTCAAACATATATTAACTTTTTTATCGTTAAAAAATTCAATTTTTAATATTATGAAAGAAATGAACGTTAGAATACTTTCTTATCAAATCAAATATACTTCACTATCTATCTCAACTAAAACTTTTACTTATCTATTCTTACTTGGATAATGTTTTTATTTTATATTCACAAGTAGTTCTTTTCTTTCTCGAAGATGAACAGATATGCCTATACATAATACTTGCTAATCGTATAAGCATTCAACCAATTTTTAGAGTAGAAAAAATGCTGAATAATGGTTCTCTTGCTTTTAATTTTATTTAATATTTCATTCAACTAAATTTATATACAAAAGAAAATTCATGATTTAATAATAAAAATTCCATAATAAACTCGAGTTACAGTCCATGTTGACGGCAAACAATCTTGTAAGACTTTGACAAGATCAAGCGTATTGCTACGTTTATCATAATCATAGAGTACGTGCAACGTTCGAAGATTAATCATAGAATCAATTAAGTCCAAAATACACTTGAGTTCTTCGACTTCAATATGTAATATTCGACATTGAATACCTAATGGTGATCGACTTAATTTTAAACATTGTTTACTAGTATAACGATGCTTATAACCAGTTTGACCAGAACCTTGTACGTTGAGTTGATAAATTGATACACAAGTACATTGATATGGTGGTATTGTAGAAGTGTTCCACGATTCAAATGACAATGAATATAGACGAGGTGAATTATCAAGCAATGCTTGTAATTGCCATTGATAAATTATCGTTGGAATACATACATTAAGTGAATGTAAATTTTCAAATTTAGAAATAATTGACAGAAATCGACGATCAATCGGAAGTTGAAGAGATAATATTTCGATATTGATAAGTTTAACATGGTACAACGCTTCATCGCTGAAGATCGGTTGTTCATATGCTACATTACGAACAGAATCATAAGAAAAATGGAATGTCTATCCTTTACCCTAAATCTGGTACCCAGAATGCATCCCTAAATCGAATCCACATTTGTGGATAACAAAACGAAAATTAATCCAGATTAGGGATTTTGATTTAGGGATTTTCTAATTTAGGGATTTTTTCTCAATTGATGACGGACTCCACTCTTTCATAACGAACTGGTGACCAGTTATTTTTTACAATATCTGGAACTGGTCACCAGTTCTTTAGCAAAAGTTAAAATCATTAAATATCTACTATTATTAATCTTGGCTTATTAAATATGTTTTTCGACAGAATAACTGACTAATGAAGATAGTTTTAATACAATTATGNTGCTTTTATTGAAGATACTTCACTATTTAAAGATAGACACAAAAATATATGATATCATCTAGTATCTTAGTTTTGAAATCGATGAAAGACACACTAATAGAGTAAAACAAAATGTAATACAAACTGAAATCGAATTGAATCTTTGTAATATAATGTCTCAGTCGTATAAACGTTAAATTAACTAATTCGCATAAAAGACGATTGTTTAATAAAACCTGACAATTATTTTTAGTATAACTCAAACTTTTATTTTTAGGAGTTGACTTGTGTTAGTAATGTAATATTTTTCAAGTAATTTTCACCATATTTATGTCAAATTTGAATAATTCTACATTAACTAGTTTATTTAGAGTAAAATGATTTTATTAATTATCTTCTAATCATATCTTCATTATATTCAAGATTTACTACAAGGCGTTTATCACCGATTGGAAATTAGCATTGATCGTATTTATTGCACAGCGATTGACTTCATTTATGTTCATTTGGCTATCGAAGATAAGTACATTCCGAGTATTTTTCTTCTGAAGAGTATTTTCTCAAATCATCAGATGTTGAAATAATCACTTTTCTGTTCTTGAATCTATATTATGTTTTATATGCTTGAATGAATTAGTAAAAGTCATTTGAGGATATTGTACATTCAATAAAAACATTAGTTTGAAAACTATATGAATCTGTTTTTCATATCTATCTTGTGTCTACGGAAAAATCGTAACGATGAAAACCGCTTCTACTTCTTGCATGAATCAAATTTTTGTCAGTTTTATCCACTGATTAAAGTATCATATTATTATAATTATTAATTATTTAAAATTTCAGCTCATGTAAATCAACTTGGTAGAAAAATGACTTATTTTGAAACTATTATAAGTTTCTTTGATCGGATGTAACTTTTTATGTTACACTTTCTTAAAATCTTATTTACAATATATTTTGAAAACTTTCATAAATTATTTTTTCATGATCTTTCTTCCCGTCGATCCTGTAATCTATTTTACAACTTCGAAATAAAAGACAAGTCGTGGAAACTTTGAGCTGCATTACGTTTCACTGTAGTCGACATTTAGATTTTTTTACGAAACACACTGGTAAGGGTGTGGATGTGGGTGTGCACTGGAAAAAATTGGTCACATTATCGAACCTCTGAGAGTTTCGTAGACAAAAAAAGTTTTTTGTTAAGGAAAAAAGGGTTTCGTACCAAATCCTAGAAAGTTCTACCGAACTTTTAAAAAAGACTTTTCGACTGATGGTAATTATTTTGAAGGGATCAAAGAGTTTTACGGAACTCCTTCGAGGGTTTAGAATTCGTTGCAAAAAAGGTTCGGTATATCACCTTCTTTTTCAGTGTGGGTGTGGATGTGGTACAGAAAAACACCCACAGCCACCCTCAAATCAATAAATTATTTTTTTTATTTAAATTTTTAAATGAATCTCCATGTCATTTATCATTATCCATAAAACAATTTCTTTTCGATGAATTAATTAATGTTTTAATTAAAAATAATAGTCGACTAAATCGTAAGAAAATTTATCAACAATTTAATGATCTGTGGGATCTTAAGGGTGTGAGTGTGTAGGTAGCTTTGTTCTTCTTCTATCACTCACATCCTTGGTAATCCCTGAAATTCTGAGAATACAGAATCCGTCGATTTTCCTTGTGGTCAAGACATCTCGTTCATACAGAAACGAGCCGATCATTATTGATTTGAGTCAGCTTATCCAACTTACTCAGTTATAAGTTGTCATATAGCTATTTTTGAAATAGAATTTCATTATAGATTGGCAATGTTTGAGCAAACATTCAAAAATTTCGAAGAAAAACTTTTATTCATCAAGACTCGTCAATGAAGTAGAAAAAAATATAGAAAAATATTATTTTTTAAACGAATATAACATAGTAATAAAATCTTTTCGGCTTCTATGAATAGAAATCAAATTTTGATACTCAAAACTATAACATGAAAAAAAACAATAATGAACGAAGAACACACTTCATTCATACAATTTTATCTATAAATCATTTTTTTCAGGGCTCCAAAAATTTCTGTATAAATGATTATTGAATGAAAATTTTTCATGCTAATATTTACTTTTGTTAAAATATCTTCGATATGTTAAGTAAGGAAAGTTACTCTCATGCTACCAATTACAGTAAAACAGAAAAAACAGAATATATTTGGATTTCACTACTTCAATGATAAACGACTATTCGACGAAAATCTTCGTCTATTAACAAGTTTGATCAAAAATTTTCTAGATCGATGAATCAACATGTAGAATCGATTAGTTAGAATTGTAAACTTACTCTCAGCCAAGGAAAGTCTATTTTACCGCAGTGAAACTGATTATATATTCGACTTGCTCACAGCGACGTATTTAACGAGGAGGGAGAGCGTAGTTGATTCCTCTCTACAAAACAAAAAAAGTTTCACTAACAATATTCAAAGATACTGTTCTTTAAAGTTCAGAAAACTTTTCTCAATAATTCAGAGTTTGATATAACGTAAGCTATGTGATTGTATCAACTCCTCTTTGTTTCATATAATAAATGCCAAATATATGTACAATGAATAACGTGGCAATTATGTTTCTATATTTTGTGATCAACATATGATACCATTAATGTAATTTTTTTGTACACTTTCATCGGAAATGAGTAAAAGGGAAATATGCCATAATCATGCGTGTCTGGATGTTGCCACAATAAGATGGAGAGAGTTGAAAATTTAGGAGGCCTATTTGAAAATTTTCACTACAATTTACCGCATTGTGCACGGAGGCTCGAACAATATTTAGAGAATTGGTTCAGCAAAAAACGAATAAAGTATTGAAAATTTCTCAAGATAGAGAGTGGGACTATCATTTGGAAGCCTCCTTCGTCGTTTGGGATACCCTTAGGTAAAAAAGTTTCGATCACCCGTCTTCCACCTTTCGAAAAATCCTAGTTGCATCCTTGCTTGCTCAACTTCTGGATCACAATTTATAAGAATATCGTGATTTTTTTCAAATAACTATTCGTTGACAAAGAAATCAAATTCAAAAATGTACTCTTACTCGTGATTGAGTATCTAATAAGATAAAGGTAACTATTTTGACCTGCTTCCCAATCATTCCTAAGATAATCTCTTATTAATATATATGTATTTAAATATGTTTTTTATATAATTTCCACTCATATGGACAATCTAAAATATTTTTCAATGGTTATTTTCCAAATGAAGAACCGTACTTAATCGAAAATTGGTCATATTTCGTTTATTTCAAATTCATTTATTCGAATACAATGAAAAATTCTAAGAATTTTTCAATCGATTTTATCTAAAAACATCATTTGTCTTACTTTTTTGAGTGTAACTATGGCAGTTAACTGTACGTGTAATTTTCATTCTCCAACGATTCACCACTGATACCGACACCCACACTCAACTAATGGTTATAAATAGAACATACAAAATGCACTTAAATCAACCAAAACACAAAATTTTTATTCAATTTTTCAAACATATATTAACTTTTTTTGATCGAATCAAATATACTTCACTATGTATCTCAATTAAAACTTTTACTTATCTATTCTTACTTGAATAATGTTTTTATTTTATCTTCACAAGTGTTACTTTTCTTTCTCGAAAGTGAACAGATATGTCTATACATAATATTTGATAATCGTATAAGCATTCAACCAATTTTTAGAGTAGAAAAAATGCTGAATAATGGTTCTCTTGCTTTCAATTTTATTTAATATTTCATTCAACTAAATTTATATACAAAATAAAAGTCACGATTGAATAATAAAATTTCCATAACAAAGTCGAGTTACAGTCCATGTTGATGGTAAACAATCTTGTAAGGCTTTGACAAGATCAAGAGTATTACTACGTGTATCATATTCATAGAGAATGTGCAACGTTCGAAGGTTAATCATAGAATCAATTAAGTCCAAAATACACTTGAGTTCTTTGACTTCAATAAGTAATACTCGACATTGAATACCTAATGGTGATCGACTTAATTCTAAACATTGTTTACTAGTATAAAGATGCTTACAACCAGTTTTACCAGAACCTTGTAAGTTGAGTCGATGAATTGATGGACTAGTAAATTGATATGGTGGTGTTTTAGAAGTATTCCACGATTGAAATGACAATGAATATAGACGAGGTGCATTATCGAGCAATACTTGTAATTGCGATTGATAAATTATCGTTGGAATACGTACATTAAGTGAATGTAAATTTTCAAATTTGGAAATAATTGACAAAAATCGATGATCAATCGGAAGTTGAAGAGATAATATTTCGATATTAATAAGTTGAACATTGTATAGCGCTTCTTCGCTGAAGATCTGTTGTTCATATGCTACATTACGAACAGAATCATAAGAAAAATGTATTTCACCTGAACAAGTCGATTTTGTTTTAGAATCTAATTCATTAAATAAAATAGGAAAATAATCAAATGCATAGGGTAATGAATAAACTGTAAATGAAAGAGATTTTATCCAGCGTCTCCAATGACATCGAACAAACCATTGATGATGTTCAATCCAAAATGGAGTACGATATGTTTCAAGGAATCGATCAATTTTTTCTTCATCAGTTTGGTTATCAATTGAGTGACCAAGAGCTGAACTGATCATGAATTGTAAAATGTTCAGTTTAGGTAAATAATTAATAATAATTTGTTTCCATTGATGTCCATCAATATTGAGAGATGATATTTCAATTTTTAAATGAGTAACATTAGGTAATAATTTAAATAGATTAATCATTAAACGTTGTGATCTTACTTCAGTTAGAACAAGTTTTTTAATCGATAAATTCTGAGGTGATGGTATAAATTTACGAATAAGAGGAAGATCATCTTCTTCATAGGTATCTAATGATATTGAGAAATTTTTTAAGTGAGGTGTTTTTTCGAAGAAATTAAGAAATTCAGATGAATACCAATTAGATTTACAAATAGTTAAATATTGCAAAGATTTTGATACAATAGTAGGAATAGAAAAATGACTAGATTTAAAACTACAATCCCAATATAAATGAGTTAATTTTGGTAGATTCCAAATTTGATTAATTACATTGCCAAAATTTTCTATGTTGATATGAAACAATCGACAATCAACAAATTTAAGGTTTGTTAGTTGATCAAGACGATATAAATCGGAAAAAAACGATTGATTCATTTTTGGATCTGAACTAACACAGTAAAATGTTAGAGAACGAAGATTATTAAATTGACCTAATGTGAAACCAGCTGATAGAAAATGTGTACATTGAAAAGGTGTGTCCTCATCATCGGAGATTCGTAGATAAATTGTATGATTTAATATAAATGGAAGATATGTTTGACAAAAAATATCAAAATCCTTTTTTAATATTGAACGTAAATCGATACGATTATTTCGAAAATAGATAAATAATAAAGAATTAAAACGAGTATTAAGATCATGAAGAGCACGAAAAATATCAATTGCATTAAATAATTCGAATAAATCAAGAAATAATTCATTCGATAATGATTCGAACGTTGTCTTATTGATTGTCATTATTGCATTAAAATCTAAAAAAACAAAAATATTCAATGTTATACAACACAATTTATTCAAAAATGTTAAATCATCGAATATACCCAAGCAGTCAAAAAAATAAGAAATTAACACATTATAACAGTTACTTTCTCTTTTTCCTTCGAAGTGTTGTACATTATTTTAACAAATGTCCGAATTTTTGCGTTTTAACAGTTTATATAACTTTGATTTTAACATCGTTAGAACGACTGGGAAAGAGAAACATTGAAATAGGTTAATAAAAATAACTATATTAAAACAAAAAAAAATTGAACATTTGTTGAAATGTACAATGCGTTCCAATGTTTAATGAATTTTCAAGTTATATATTGTGATGGAAAGCATTGTATTGTAAGTAAGAAAAGATTAGATATATTCGGATCGAATTAAACCTGTTACTGTTAAACTAAAAAAGTAACAAAAAATATAGGTTGTTTTTGACGTGAACCGATTGAGACTGAGATATTCGATTTCCAAGGAATATTTAGAATATG